AACCTTTGTTTTATGTGGATGTACAACCTTTCTTCTCTTCGGTGGTGGGGTAGATCTTGTGCTAGAGACTCGTGTTGATATCCTCAACAATTGATGCGGTGTTTCAGATGAAAAGTCTTCAAATCCAGGAACCTCTTGTGGCTTCCCAACATCAATATTAACATTTGATGTACCAGGTTCATCATGAGTTACATGACTGGGTTGAGGTAATTGCAGTGTTGTACATTCCTCTCCAGTTGGCTGAATATTTGTACAGTTATGCTGAAAAATAACAAAATATTGAATCATTGTTAGAACGAACAAAAAATGTATCGATAAGTACCAAAAAAATACTAAACATTTATATATTAATTACCTCAGTGAAAACGCTTTTCATAAACATCTCAAATTTGGGCTTTTCAGCCACAACTTTCCAATTGCAAATTCTTGGAATAACATTTTTTTCTTTAACCGCAATCTCACTATCCAACACAGAAGCACATTCATATATCCATACATTAAGTGCATACTGCATACCATTTAATCGATACATTTTTTTCTCAGATTTGAACTCTTGTCTAAGTAAATTCATTAAACTTCTGAAAGCACGTTGACCCCACGGATACTGCCGATAAGTGTCATCTTCAACCATTAAAAAATCTTCAATTGGAATTGCTGCAGTACCAAGTTGAGATAATACAAAAGAGTGGATGAAAAACATGATAGCCATCTGAAGTTGATCATCAATATCATCCCAATCACCCAACATAAATCGATCTACCAGACGTTGTTTATTTACACTGTAATTGGGCCCCGGAAAATACCTCTGAACTAGCCTACTTCTTTTTGAATCTGGATATGTAAAATTCTTAATATTTCCACTGCATTTCAATCCAGTAATAATTGCAAATTCTTTCATAGTAAAGGTTAAGATATTTCCTTTAACATGGCGAATGTGAAGTTCCTCGGCTAGATTATCTTGCTCCACCTCTAAAAGAAGTAAACACTTTGTGATCTGACCTTGGTAATTACATTTAGGAATATTCAAATATGAACCAAATATACTATTCCTAAATAATTCTATATCCTCAACCCCCATTGATTCCTCTAAGTCTCTTAATATGTTTGAATTGTAAGTACAACCAAACTTAAGAAAGTGTTTGGGAATTTGTTTAACCACATAATTCATATTTTGCAATTGAAAAAAGTGATATTGATATTTATTATAACATACAAGCTTAATATGATACATAAAATGCAAAAAATAAAATTGATACATAATTCTAAAAACGTATCGTAAGTCGGCCAAAATGATACCTAACAGACACTTTATAGCCTAACATGATAGAAAAAATGCAAATTCATATTTGATACATAAGTGTAACTACAATTATAAGTATGTCTACTTGATACTAACATGATATAAGTTTGTCTACTTGATACTAACATGATACAAAAAAGGCAAATTCGTATTTGATACATAAGTGTAACTACAATTATAAGTCTGTCTACTGGATACTAACATGATATAATTCTGTCTACTTGATACTAACATGATACAAAAAAGGCAAATTCGTATTTGATACATAAGTGTAACTACAATTATAAGTCTGTCTATTTGATATTAACATGATACAAAAATTGCAAAGTCATACTTGATAAATAAGTTTAGCTAAAATTATAAGTTTTGTCTAATTGATACTAACATGATACAAAAAAATGCAAAGTAATATTTGATACAGAAAAAAGCAAATTCGTACTTGATACATAATTGTAACTACAATTATAATTCTGTCTACTTGATACTAAATGATACAAAAAATTCAAAGTTATACTTGATACATAAATATAACTACAATTATGTATCTGTTAGTATTTTGTGAATCAGATAAATAATCTAAAAAATATAATTGATACAGGAAATTAAAATTATATTCTTATTAAAGATCTATTAAGCATAAACCCCAAAAGGAGGTGACAACCAAGAGGATGGGCAACTGGGTATGATTTACATAATTTTTTTTTTGAATTTCAACTTATTTATAAGTACTACAAATATGAGTCTGTTAGCATTTTCTGAATCAGATAAATACTCTAAAAAATATAATTGATACAGGAAATTAAAATTATATTCTTATTAAAGATCTATTAAGCATAAACCCCAAAAGGAGGTGACAACCAAGAGAATGGGCAACTGGGTTTTGATTTACACAATTTTTTTTTGAATTTCAACTTATTTATACATTAGTAATACTTAATAAACAACATGTACAAGAAAATATAATTGATACAGGAACTTAAAATTATATTCTTATTAAAGATCTATTAAGCATAAACCCCAAAAGGAGGTGACAACCAAGATGATGGGCAACTGGGTTTTGATTTACATAATTTTTTTTTTGAAATTCAACTTATTTATACATTAGTCATACTTAATAAACAACATGTACAAAAAAAATAGTATTTTCTGAATCAGATAAAGAATCTAAAAATATTTTTTCTGATAACACAAAAATTCATTGCATGTGACAAAAAAAATAAAAAAAAATTAAAATCGAAATACGTACCGGTGGCCGTGGAGGTCTGGACATGGCCATTGCAAGCTTTCTACCCCTCTTCTCGGGTGTCTTTGCATGTGCCTCTTCTTGTGTTTTATGATTCTTCGAACTTTGGTTATCCATTGTTAGAAAAAAATGGCGGACAGAGATGGCTGACAAATTAGACGAAGGCGTACGGACGGAGGCGGACAGATTAGACGACGGCGTACGGACGGAGAGCACAACTTTGATTTTCAAAGGAGGACAGGTAGAGAAAAATGGCGGACAGCTTAGAGGAAGGCGGACAGACGAAATCAAAGGCGGACGGACGGAGAAAATGGCGGACAACTTAGAGGAAGGCGGACGGAAGGAAGGAATCAAAGGAGACTGACTGAGAAAAATGGCGGACAACTAAGAGGAAAATGAACAGTTTAGTAATTAATTAGGCGGACAGACGGAGAAAATGGCGGACAACTTAGAGGAAGGCAGACGGATGGAAGGAATCAAAGGGAGACTGACTGAGAAAAATGGCGGACAACTAAGAGGAAGATGAACAGTTTAGTAATTAATTAGTGGGAGTGGTGAAAAAGGTTTCTTTATTTTGGAAAAATAAAGAGTAAAATAAGGGATAATATTTAATTGGTTAGTATTAATTATGAGAGTCGTGTATGGGTATTTTATTTGGGGAAAATAAAGAGTATAATTAGGGGTAAGATTTAATTGGTTTGTATTAATTAGGATTCTAATTTATTTATGTATCTGTTAGATTAAATTTATTAAAAAATAGGGATTTTAGTAATTTTTTAAAAAAGAAGGGAAATATGGAGGATATGTAAACTTAAGTTGTATATTTAGGTAATTATTCCCTAAATTAATTGATTTGGGCTACATTGGATGAACCCAATTTGTTAAACCCAATCTCATCTCATTCTAGAGCCCATCTTGACGCCACGTGTGCAAATGATGTGGTATGCCAAGTCAAATAAGAAAACCAATAGAATCATGACATGTGTCAAAGATGACAAGCCCGCTCCATAAAGCCCAAATGTCATGTCACTTCAATCTGATTGGCTGAACGGAATCCTATTTCAATCGCAACTCCTCTATTCTAAAACTATAAATAGGGGTCCTCATAATTCAGAAAAGGGACAGAAAATTCTAAACAATTCAGAAAAGGGACAGAAAATTCTAAACAAGAAGCTAGAGAAACTCTGTGGTACAAACGCCATTTAATTCTCTACAAAGCTACAAGTTTAAGAATTCAAGCATTCAAGTTCAAGAACGATCAAGATCAAAACCACCAAATTCAAGAACAAGCTAGAAGCCCTTGAATTCAAATAAAAGTCAAGATCAAGATAAAGTTCAAGTTCAAGTTCATCATAGATTCAAGAACAAGCTTTTAAGCTCTTGAATTTATATTTGAAAAGGCGAATTCAGAGGAACTATAGAGATTGTAACACTCGCATTTGAAATAATAAGACGATTGTTGCTATAATTTTCTGTTCTTGATTATTGTTTTTACTACGCGAATTCTATTGTCTACAATATGTTTATGAATAAACTGTATGTTTTTAAGTTAAGTATAAATTGAATTGTTTAAATCAAACAAGTTGTTACATATATCATGCTTGTATTTGTATTTGAAGTATATAAAGTATACTTGCATGTGTCTTAAAATTATGAAGTGAAAATATATATAAATAAAGCAGTTTAAACCAAATCAATATACACCTCCAAATACCTAATAAATTTAGTTATATAATTATACAATATTGGACTTGTGTAACTGTAATTTTCAAAATTTGATTAATGAAATTTTCAAATTTTGAATTTGAATTTGAATTTTTTAAAGTTATTTAAGGGGAAGTGAGAGATTTTAGGAGATAGATTACTGTGTATGATAAGAGAAAGAGTGTTTGATTTGTATAAAAGATGAAAGAGAAAACTTACACGTTTTGATACAAACCGTGGAACTTGCCGTGTAATTATTTTATTTAACTATAATAATTTTTTTATTTATAATTAATTAAACTACGTATAAAATTTTTAAGCGTGAAAAATATTGTACAAACGGGGGTAACCAATGGCGGGACATGTATTCGCAAATTTTTAATGAAAGAGTTCAAAATCTAAGAAGTAAATATACAAACTAGCGAGAGGAGTTCGACATCTATTATACATATCTAAAAAATAATTTTAACCAATATATAAATAAAAATATTTTCACCGTGAACCTCCTCATTATACACACAGCGTCCGCCCCAGTAAGAATGCCGTATGCCCTACGTAAGTTCTTGTAGGTGCATTCTAAGCATGTCTTACTTCCCCCTCTTCATCTATGGGCAGCTCATAGGGGCATTCTTAGCATTTAATAAGAACTCGCGAGACATAATATGAGTTTGGTTAATTCTTTACGGGAAAGAATGATTCTTCATACTTGTTCTAAGACAAAACAAGAAGATGCCGTTCAAATCAGATTTTCTCAAAACAACTGACAATGAAGAGAGAAGCCATTTTCCTTGTTAAGATTGGAATTCAGCATGAGTTACAACAAATTAAGTGTACTACACCTCTCAAAAGAATAGAACCCCCACAGCACTCAGCAGCAAAACTACAACTAGCCTCAAAAAAAATGCACAACAAAACGAGCCGGCAACAAAACTAAATATAACCAGGCCAGACCACGCAGGCATGCCTGATGATGGACTTCGAAATCCTACATACCCTCTTCAACAAAAATTTGATGTCCCAATTGGACATCTTCCTTCTTAAACCTAGAAAAGAATCGGGAACATCTTTCCAATTGAAAACCAAATAACTAACTACCACCTCTCTTAACCACCTCAACTAATTACCTACAGAACCAATGCTACCTTTTCCTGCGAAACATAAGCTGAAGGAGAAGCAATAAGAGGCTCATAATGATCCGCCCCAGCACCACACCAACCTGCAATTACCAACGTACAATCTCAGATGGGCTAAAATATTAGCACTAGGATCTTTTATTCCAAAAATTTAACGTACCTGTTCCTTTCATGAAAAGGAAGAGAGGAGGTTCACATATTTCACATTTGGGACGATGTGGCAGAAAGAAGACACAATTTTCTTCATCAACCATTGCATCCGATCCATGAGCTTGCACCTAAATCCAACAGAAGAAAAGAAATTGTTTGATTAACAATCCAACATCACACAATTGAGAAATGTCAGCAACAAAGAGAATCATGACAAGAAACAAACCAAAGCGAAAGGAGCATAGGAGTTGAGAAATGAATTGCACACAATGTATCAAAATCCTTTTTGAGGGATCATCTCCTATTTATCAAAAAACAAAGAAGAACCTATGAAAAGAATAGGAGGATCGCTAATATGACCACAGGTAAACCCACTTTCTGAATAGACACATGTCGTCATTCCAAATTGAAAAAGTAACGGGCACCCACTAGAAAGATAAAAATTATCTTTCTGAAGCATTCTACTTTCATTAGCATTGTTCTCATGGATATCATCGCTTATTGCTCTCATGACATTGTCTTTCGATTATCAAATTATGCAGCTTCATACAGAGAAAAGCCTGAATAGCACAATTTGGAAACTGAAACAAAAACAATACACTGCATAACTGGTGCATCTTCAGAATGTTCATGCTGATTGTGTAATCGTATCGTTTTCAAGGGAATGTAAAAGTCATGCTAAAGAAGATGAGTGTAGAATATTGTTTTCTTACCACAAAGATCTCTCTTTTAAACTCGGTTGCAAGACACTCAATAGCTATATCGTCTCCAAATGCAGCCGCATGACCATCACAATTTTCATCTACAGTTAATAAACCGTCCTCAGTATACTGCAAAGTGATGATATCATATTCATCATCAGGTGAACCAGAAATCGACATGTACTTTGCCCAACTTGGACCATCATCCACAGCTATGCATCTCTCTTTGTATATAGACTCAGCAGCCAATTCTCTTCAATGTCAAAAAACTATTATAAAAAAACACAACCATATCCAAAAAAAATTTGAAAGCTACTCAATCAATTTTACACTTGCTATAAGCCTAAGACCTAATTAACATATACCAGAAAAACCAAAGTTTTGAAAATCTTTTCCGGGCAGATACAGACAGTGGTGAAAACCCAGCAAACAAAACTTTGATTTCTTCTTCGTATCAAATGAATTACAAATAAAAGCAATTCCCACTTCAAAGAGGACATTCTCGATGGCAAAATGCATGAAATCCTTAACGGAATGAACCAGATCTAAACTTTCTCATCCAGATCTAACAAATAACAAGAATTTAGGCCTCAATCCCTAATGCATAAAATGAATAATTAGGCGAAATGGATAGGAAATTACCGCTGCATTCCGAGGTGAACAAGCTCGGAAATAGCCGATTCCAGAACCTCCCTATCGTCCTTCTTAGCTAATAGCTTCAGCTCTTGAACCACATGAATACCCCAACCAGATTTCAGATCCGGAGAATACATGTGCTTAATCGCCGATTCAATCGCTTCTTTCTCCGATCCAAGATCTTCCAAGAACCTCCGCACAGTCCTCCGTCTCAGATCTCTCGCGTACGACACCGTTTTAACCCCCATTGATTTCCCACAAGCCGTAAAAAGACAGTTTCCGTCTGCCTCGACTTCTCCGCCGTGGCTCAACCGGAAAACCATAGAAGCATTCTGATCCTGAGGATGTTTCCACAGCACTCCTTTCGACTGAATCTTTATCAAATGCCTTCTCTGCTGGTCCTCTAAAGATGAAACATTTTCCCAGGAAGATGTATCAACGACGGCGACAGGGGTGATCGCCGGCGATGATTGGTCAACGAGGTCGATAGATGATGGAGTAGAGGTAGGATCCCGCCATGGAATCACCGGCGACGATGCTGTTGAGTCGCAGATGAGTTTCCCCATTCTTGATAAAAAAAATTTTGTTCTTTTTGGACACTACAATGGCGGAAACAGAAAGTGGGGAAAAAAGGAAAGGGTGGTTAGGGCAAACGGCTACATTTTACAGGAGTTGAAAGTGTTGATGGACACGTGGACCAATCAAAAGTCTTTATTTACTGTTTTCAAGTTTTGTCTACGGGTTTTGGTGAAGCGGGTGACAGCTGTATTCAAACGACGTGGCATATTATTATTGGTTAACAGAAAAATTGTAACGTTATGGGTGTTTCAAGACCCACGTTCTTTTCCCGCTATGGGCATATTCTATATACGTTACGTTGTAAAATAAAATAATGAAATAAAACCTTCTTTTGTTTTTCCTGTCCTTGAAAAAGGTGTAGTGATGGATAAGAACAATAATATTCTATCCATCTTATTTTATGTGATAATATTTAATGGATTATAGAATTTAAGAAATAATAAAAACGTTAAATGTGTATTAAATTGTTTTTAAAAAAAATAAATTTATTTTTTTTTTCTTCATAAATATATTAGAGTACTATGTTCAAAATTAAGTGAGACCAACAAGAATAAAAATGAATAATATTTTTAAATATTTACGATTTAAGAATATTATGACATTCTTTTTGATACTAACAAAAATAAATAAATAATATCACACAAAATAAATGGAAGGAATTTTGCTAATTTTACTAATTGGGTTTAATTTTTATATATTATAATATCAAAAATAATTGTTACATATTATGATAGCGGTATTTAATTTGATGTACACTTTTGTTATTTCAACATTTATTTGTATTTTTTATCGGTTCAAGTAACAGATAATTTTGTAAACGTAGCAAATATATATAAATCTTTTTTTGTGGCTATGTCTGCGACTTTTTCATTATCAACATAGAAAATGTGCTGCCGCTTGGGCAACACAATTATAACCACAAAATACAAATCCTTTAAGGTCACATGAAATCAATTTTTGAGGTTGAGTTTGTGTAATGTCTCTTTACAATTTTTTATGGTATTTTATTTTAGTAGAAATCTAATATTATTGTTTAATTAATTTATTTATTATAACTAAAGGGACAAAGGGCCAGATTTTTTAAATCAAAATAAATGCAGGGAAAATGTCAATCATATTTAAAGAAGTTCATCAGAATACATTTCAAATAAAATTATATTTAAAGTTCAAAAAGTAAGGATAAAAAATTAAGAAAATTCAAAATTGGCCTACAATTTCAGATTTATGTTAAAAAAGATCTCACTATACAATCCATCAACTTTTTTACCTTGAAGCTCATGATCTTGAACTTTATTCTACTTTCTAGTCCATTGTTTTTTCATTAATTTTTGGATGCACTATAAATTTGAATACGCTGACATTGACACAAAGTCAATTGAAATACTTGCACAGTATAATTATTCAATTGCAACATGACAATTGTATCGTGCATACTTGATTAAAAAAACTAAGAGAAATCAAAATTTTAGATGTATAAACACGACACATGATGGATATAATATATTTCATATGATACAGACAAACTAATTTAGGATACTTACCGAATACAATTCATTTTGGACATAATTGAACCGAATATGTATAAGGGAATTTAAACTAAATACAATATTAAAAAACTACAAGTGAATCTAATACAATTCTATGAGGATACAACTAATTTGGGATACATAAAGAAGCTAATAGAATGCAGTCTTCTTCATCGCCAACTCATGATATGTCATGTAGCTAAAAGCATAACTATTTTAAATGCAGTTTCTAAAAAAAAAATCTTGTGAAGTGAAAGAAAACACACACACATCATGTAAGTCAACTATAAATACAATTATTGGTTAGCTATAAAACATAATACAAAATATAAAATTGTTTATGTTCGTTCAACTTATACATAAAAAATAAATATGTAAAAACAAATTTGACTACAAACTATAGAAACATTCAAAATATTTTCAAATAATTTTGTGAAACAACTAAATACCTAAATGCTAATGTAGATTATACTAAATCTGAAATATAAAAACAAGTCATAAAAAAAGATAAAAAGAATTATTTAAAATACTAAAAATCTAAAATACATAAATATTTGATGAGTATGTTAACAAACTCACATAAAAATTTAAAAAATGACGGAAAAACCTAAATACATACAATCTGAAATTCAACATAATGTGTGATTTTGAAAATAATATCTCACGAAATCTTGCAAAATAAATGATGACTTCGAAAATACCTTAATCAATTGAGAGATTTCTTGATTAATTGATAGATATGAACAAATTGGTATTAACTTGAATAATCAGTTCTTCTTCAACAACGAGGGAGAAAATAATGGTGAAATTTGATGAAAAAAAAAAAGAAGAAGAGAAAATGTGAATGATGGGATTGTAAAAACTGAAAATTTGATGAAAGAGAACAAAATGACAACATGAAAGATGAAAAATAAATTTAATAGTATTAAAGCCTAGGAATAAGTGTAAATAGGTAGTGGATGTAGAATTTGGTTCAATGTTAAACTATTTTGATGAATAAAATTCGGATACAAATTTTTTAATAAAATATTAAAATTTTTGACATTTTCAATAATTATTTTAAAATATATATGTTTTTACTAATTAAGTTAGGGATTGTGGCTAGTTTGCTAATTTAGGAAGGATATAAATCAAATGATCAGACCCAAACAAAATATTATTGATACAGGAAAGAAACAAGATACATAGCACAAACTCTAAATCTAGAGGATTGCAGGAATCAAACAAATCATGAGCGCATCCAGTTAAGAAAGGAAAGTAAATATTCAATCAATCAAATCAAAATTCACAGCTTGCAATAATTAAAGGAAAACACACAAGGAAGTTTTCTCAAGTAAATCAAGAAGGACAAGATAATCAAATAAAGGTGAAATCAAAGAAGAAATATCGAACAAGCAGTCAAGATCAAAATTAGGAGAAATCAAATCAAGTGATGAAGATCAAGCCATGACTCAAGATCATCTAACACGGAAAAATTGATTCGTCATGCACATAGCTGATATGGACATGACTCAGCAAATCAATTGCAAATGAATCAGGATTTCAAGGATAAGCTTAATGATCATTGATTCAAACACCCATGGGTTTCTGATAAGAGCATCCTATATAAACCCCCTCGACCGTTAGTTTGAAGCACGCAACTCGTTTGATCTTATCTGTAATCTTCTTTCAGTTTTGATAAACGCTTTATACACGAGAGTGAACAATTATAAAAGAAAAAGAGAAGAAAATATTACGAGAGTAGGTTATACAAGTAGAGGCAATGCCACCAAAATAGAAGTTATGATTTGTATATCAAACATGATTCCATGTCTACATATTCTGTTATCAAGTTTGTTCGAAGATCTTGAGGAAACCCTTGAAATCCAAGGGGATTGGACTAGGCACCACATCAGTGATTCAAAATAGTATAAAATTTTCTGTTCATTTAATTTCAACATATTATCTTATTTTATACGGTTGAGCTAATCTACATGTGAGTCGACTACTCCTCACTAGGAGTCGACTAAGGCGAATATTCAATTCACCCTCCTCTTGACTTTCAATTGGTATCAGAGCAGGTCTTATCATTTTAGTGTTTAACCACACGTGAGAAAGATTCAAAATAACATACTAGCAATCCCTGAAGCCTCACGTCAAGATGGTCACTCATCACACTGACTACCATACTTCAAAGGACAACATTACTCTCACTGGAAAAACAAATTCAAAATATTTGTCAACTCAACTGATCATCAAGCATGGATAGTGATTAAGAAGGGTCCAAAACCCATTTCGGAGCTTACTAAAAAATGGCATTGAAAATCCATTCGATTCTGAATCATTTGACATCACTAAAGAACAACAAGAGGTAATTCAAACTAATGTTAGAGCGATAAGTTTGTTATATTGTGCAGTAAGTAAAGCAGAGTACGACAAGATATCAACATGCGATACTGCAAAATAAATGTAGAAAAAACTAGAAGTAACATATGAAGGAACACCAAAGTGAAGTAGGCTCGGATCGGTGCACTTGTTAATGCATATGAGGTGTTCAAAATGACAGAAGATGAAAACGTTGAATCTTTGTTTTCAAAATTTAGAAAAATTGTTAGTAAACTAAAAACTCTTAGAATGGTGTATTCAAATGCATTACAAGTTAGCAAACTTGTTCGATGTCTTCCCAAGGCTTGAGAAACTAAAACTATAGTTCTAGAAGAAAGAGATCTGCAGAAAATGACATATGATGAACTCTGTGAGAACGTGATAACATATGAACAAAATCACATCAATAAGTACAATAAAAATGATAAAAAGAAAATTGTAGCTTTCACGGCTAAGACATTTAAAGCTGGAGAAGAAGGTGAGAAAACCAAGACGAAGGAATGACTCTCATAAATAGAGGAGTAAGACAAATCCTAAGACAAAGAAGGCAGAGACCTCAACAAGATTTCAAGAACAATGATTTCAAGTTACATTCAACACATCTAATTGCATCATGAAATATCCCGAGAAAGGACTTACTCTAATAGAAGAAAGAGTAGACAATATATATGTTCTAAATAATGTTAATTTTCCTTCTCTTACACGTCTTACTACAGTTACAAGTGATCCTTGCCTATGACACCGTAAACTCAAATACACAAGTATGCATGCCCTTGAGAAACTTTCCATACTTGAATTAGTTATTGGCTAACCAAAACTAAAGTTTGAAAAATATCATGCCTGTGAAACATGTTAGTTGGGTAAGCAGACTCGTTCATCTTTTAGAAGAAAAGATATTGGAAGTACTTCTAAGCCTCTTCAGCTTCATCATATGGATTTATTTAGTCCTACTCGAACTGCCAGTATTGGAGGTAAAAAGTATCTGTTGACATCCTTTGAATGGGAGTAACATCGCGGTGACTCAATTAAAAAAGAATTGGTTAATTGAATTTTTAAAACGGGTAAAAGGGGTTAAAAGTGAAAAGGGGTAAAAAGGGATTAAAGGGAGTCACCACTTAGTTTTTTTTGGAAAAACTAGGAAACCGATTAATTAATTAACCTGAAAGAAATGT